TGTGCACAAGAGCTCCCTTGGGTTGGTCTTACAGAGTTATCATTGGTGGAGGAAGCAGACGCCGAAAAATGTCGCCCATAAGCTTCCAGTGGCACAAAGTTCTAAGGACAACAAACAGGAGACCGCTGAGCCTTGTTCCCAGCCGCCTGCATCTCAGACTCACACCCCAAGGAGACTGGGCTTCCTTCCACTCTCCAAACCAGCAAAATTCTCTTCCTCTCTTTCCTGACCACAGAGCCTTTGTGCTTCCTTTTGCGTCTCCACCAGCGTCTCCCTCCTCCACTCCTTCCCTTTCTCCTGGCTGAGTCCTCCAGTTCCTGCATCTCCCTCCTCCACCCCTTCCCTTTCTCCTGGCTGAGTCCTCCAGTTCCTGCATCTCCCTCCTCCACCCCTTCCCTTTCTCCTGGCTGAGTCCTCCAGTTCCTGCATCTCCCTCCTCCACCCCTTCCCTTTCTCCTGGCTGAGTCCTCCAGTTCCTGCATCTCCCTCCTCCACCCCTTCCCTTTCTCCTGGCTGAGTCCTCCAGTTCCTGCGTCTCCCTCCTCCACCCCTTCCCTTTCTCCTGGCTGAGTCCTCCAGTTCCTGCGGCTCCCTCCTCCACCCCTTCCCTTTCTCCTGGCTGAGTCCTCCAGTTCCTGCATCTCCCTCCTCCACTCCTTCCCTTTCTCCTGGCTGAGTCCTCCAGTTCCTGCGGCTCCCTCCTCCACCCCTTCCCTTTCTCCTGGCTGAGTCCTCCAGTTCCTGCGGCTCCCTCCTCCACTCCTTCCCTTTCTCCTGGCTGAGTCCTCCAGTTCCTGCGGCTCCCTCCTCCACCCCTTCCCTTTCTCCTGGCTGAGTCCTCCAGTTCCTGCGGCTCAAGGCTCACTTCCGTCCTCCACCACACCACCTTGCTCCCGGGTTTTACACAGGGATTCCAGTGAACTCAGAAGCTGAGATCACAGAAGTGTCCCAGGTCGAAGCTCCCTCCCCAGACCAGTCAATGTCATGAGATCACCCGTGATGAGGTCACCCGTGGCCACCTAGGACCAGCTCGCAGTGTCCATCAGTAGAGCAGAGAGGAGGGTAGACAGAGGCTCATTCTGGGGACTGAGGCCTCAGGTGGCAAAGGCTGAAGATGTCACAAACACGGGGGGGAGGTGAGTTTACCCTCTTCCCACCCCTTGCTCTGCCCCCCTACCCCACCCCAGGGACCACAGCTGGGTGGACAAAAGGACAATTCACGAATGAGTGAATGAATGAATGAATGAATGAATGAATGGGCCCTGACTCGGACGAGGCTGAATTCCATACCTCCAGCACCATGCCCTGGTTGGGGGAATAAATGTTAAAAATAGAAGAAGAGAGTAAATTAAAAACAAGAAAACAACAACCCCAACTTCACAGGCCCCCAGCCATCAGCCAACTTTTCAAAGGAAGTAGAGACCGGTCCTTTTTTTTTTTTTTTTCTTTTTTTCTCTCATCCCAAAATTAAAATGTGCCTCCGGTAGGACGTATTATCGAAAACTAGAAGCATTTTATCTATCTTTATTGCGGAGTGGAGATTACACGGAGTCATTCAATTTGGAGTCAATTTAAATTTCAATTGTCTGTGAAATCTAAATCAATAGGGTATAGTTCAATGGCGCTTTAATAAAACAGGACATAACGGCGGATCATTAGGATTACAGATGAGAGGGGTTGGAGTGGGGGCCTCGGGGAGGGGAGAGGACGCTAGGAAATCACACCCCCCCCCAGCATTGTCTCTTGAACTCACAGCCCTGTGGCCCGCACACCCCCTGCCCCGCACGCCTGACTGTGCCCTAGGGGAGGCGTCCATCTCTGTCAGCCCCGCGATTGAGGGACAGTTTACAGTGAACGCCACATCCTCTCCAGGCCCCAGCCTCCCTCTACGCTCCTCCACTCAGAGGCCTCCGCAGTCCCAGGGGTGACCAGCCGGCCAGCAGTCCCCTGGCAGGGTCCTCCCCTTCCTGGGATGCTCAGACAAGAAGGGAGGGAGCTCCTCACTGGACACAGACACCCCCAACTGTGAGAGACTTTGTTTTTCACACATCATCTTGCTTTGTGCCCTTGCTACCAACACCTTCCCACCATGGCTCAGACGACAAGTATGCACCACTGCACTGGGCCTATGGATAGAGATGGGGTCTGGGTAAGATTTTTTCCCTAGATTGGCCTCAAAGCATGACCTTCCCCCCACATTTCTGTCTCCTGGATTTTTCTAGTGAATTTTGTAAATTCCTCCTCCTCATTATCATCATTATCATCATCATCATCATCAGTCTCCTCCTCCTCCTTCTCCTCCGCGTGGGCACTGTCCCTTTTGAGCCACAGCGCCACTTCCAGCTTTTTGGTAGTTAACTGGAGATAAGAATCTCATGGACTTTCCTGCCCAGGCTGGATTTGAACTGAGATCCTCAGATCTCAGCCTCCTGAGTAGCTAGGATGTCAGGTGTGAGCCACCGGCGCCCGGCTGTGAATGTCATCTCCATGTCTTAACACACAACATTGAGCCAGGCGCGGTGGTGCCTGCCTGCAATCCCAGCCCTTGGGAAACTGAACCGAAGGACAATGCGTGACCAGTCTGGGCTACTTAGCAAGACTCTGTTTCCAAATATAGAAGAAAGCGGGGAGATGGGGGTTGCATTGTGATACACACACACCCCATTTTTTATTCGTGTGATCTAGTAACAGGGCAATGGTGAATTTCCTGACTGGACGTCATGAGTGGCTGACCGTGCCTCACCACTGCACCCCCACTCCAGTGCTCACGTGGTTTTCTGACCACCCCAAGTGGGTGGCCAGGGCCCAGAGCACCCACGGAGCCCCAGTTGTATGCCACGGCCCCCTGTGGGCACCCAGAGCCCCGCAGGAGCTGAGACCAGCCCTAGACCCGTCCCAGGATGGTGTGAGCCCCACACTGCTCCCTGCGGCCCCCAAGCTGGCTGGACCTGTGCAAACTCGACCTCCACGGAGCCAGGCGCTGAGAAGAGGAGGCCTGGACCACGACCCGCAGCCCTTAGATCCGGCCTGCGTATCCATCTGCATCCTTAAGGCAGAAGGACTACGGAGGGGAGAGACAGACAGACAGACCTAGCCAAGGGAGCGGAACACCTGGCTAATAGGACAGCTGGTGCGGAGCTGGCTGGGTTCTGATCCTCACCCGTCCTCTTCCTTGCTGGGCATCCTTGGGCATGTGACTCACCCTCTCTGAGACATGACTCCTCATCTTTGTTTACAATACAGCTAGAACTTCCATGTGTTTGTGTTTGTGATGTGTTCACACCACCACCTGACAGGTAAAGAACAAAGGGGAGAGAGAGGAAGAAGGAGGCTCTCTTGCACAAATGAGGAAACTGAGTCAGGGTCGTGCCTGGGTCTCCTCCCAGCCTCTCCAGCGCCAGAGCTGGCACCACGCCGGCCCCAGGGACCCGGATCTGAGCCTGGTTCCACATCCAGCCCCAGGCCCAGGCCCTGCCTGTGGGGTGCGCACCCCTTGGCCCCCCTCCTCCAGCCGTGGCCTGGGGTGGGGCGCGCCCAGGCAGGTGAAGAATTACTGGGCCTCTCCAGGCTGTGCGGCCCGGGGAAGAAATACAACCACGCCTGAGCTGAGACTTAATGAGAATCCAAGCCTGGCCAGCCAGAAGCTGAGCAAGAAATACTGGTCCCGACTTAGGGGGGCTCACCCCCGCCAGTGGGCTTCGATCAGGGGGTCTGGGAAGGAGATAAACGAGGAGAGCTCCGGCGGGAGGGACTCGGGCTGGGAGCAGGCAGACAAGGGGGTGTAAATCAAGGCATGGGCATGGAGAGGGATAAGAGCCATGCCCAGCAGGGATTGGGGGAGTTCTGGGGGACAGAATGGCCGGAAGGAGGGGACCCCACTCCCCGTCCTGAGCCGGGCACGTGGCCACCTTCACCAACCCCCATCCATCTGGTGGGGCTCCAACCCCCTCCCGCTTTGGCTCTCAGCTTCCTGAGGATTTTGGGGTGCTCCAGCTTGGGGTGCCCACAGCAGCCCTTTCCTCTTCTCCCCAGACACAACAGCCTCGCTGGCCCCATGGTTCAGATGGTGATCCTGAGGCTCATAGAGGTTCTAGACCCACATGCATGCACACTCACTCACACACACACACACCAGCCTGCCAGAACCCCAGCCCAAGCTGGACCTGAGACTCCCCAGCCTCACACCCCGCGTCTGTGGACATCAATGGATGCCCGAGGGAGGCCATGGCCCAGGCCACGCACCCTGGAGCCCACCCCATGGCTGTGCAGACAACAGGCTCACCCATGACTGGTCTGGCCTCTAACTATGATCCTCCAGATTCCTGCCTCCCAAGTCACGAGGATTATACAACAGTCCAAAAAAGAACAAGTCAAAGCCAGGAGCTGGTATCTCACACCTGTAATCTTAGCTACTCAGGAAGCTGAGAGCTGAGGATCATATGAGCCTTTCCCAAACACAGCACAGCGGTGAGCACCCCAGCTCCAGGACACGGCAGCGGAGGGGTTCTTAATGGAAGTGGGGGAGGGGGACGGGGGGGGGAACTGTCACCCCAGCCCACAGTGTGCCAGAGCTGAAGAAAAGATACAGGAGAACAGGAAATGGGGTGTGTGTGTGTGTGTGTGTGTGTGTGTGTGTGTGTGTGTACAAATGCTGAAAAAGCCAAGACCCAAGGTTTAGAAATCTAGCAATGCTGGGCACCAGTGGCTCATGCCTGTAATCCTAGCTACTCAGGAGGCTGAGATCTGAGGATCTCAGTTCAAAGCCAGCCCGGGCAGAAAAGTCTGTGAAACTCTTATCTCCAATGAACCATTCAAAAACTGGAAATGGTGCTGTGGCTCAAGTGGTAGAGCACTTCCCTTGAGCTGAAGAGTGCAGGGACAGCGCCCAAGCCCAGAGTTCAAACCCCATGACCTCCAAAGAGAGAGAGAGAGAGAAAAGATCTCCATGGCTCATGCCTGTCATCTTAGCTGCTTACAAAACTGAGATCTGGAAGATGGAGGTTTGAGTTCAGGCCAGTCCCAGAAGATTCTATCTCCAACTAACAAGCAAAATGCCAGCCCAGAGGTATGATTCAAGTGGCAAAACACCAACTGAGCAAGGGTGAGGCCTTCAGTTTAAATCCCTGTAGCGCCAGAGTGGGGGGAAAGTCAGCAATAAAGAGCAGGAAGAAGGCGGCTGCCAGTGACTCACACCTGTCACCCTAGCTACTCAGGAGCCTGAGATCTGAGGATCCCAGTGTGAAGCCAGCCTGGGCAGGAAAGTCTGTGAGATTCCTATCTTCCTTTAACCATAAAAAGCCAGAAGTGGAGTTGTGGCTCAAGTGGTAGAGCAACAGTCTGGAGCACAAAAGCTCAGCGATCGCGCCTGAGCCCAATCAATATTCAAGGACTATGGGGGGGGGGGGGGAGCAGGAGGAAGTACAGAAGGACCTGCATGTACAAAGCCCTGACGCAGAGTGAGCACGCTACCTCCGGGCCACCCAGGGGTGAAGCACCGTGCTGGGAGCCAGAGGCTGTGTGGCGGGTGCATCTTATTCTTGGGAGTCCACCAAGGCCTCTGGGGAGGTTCAGGAGCTTTTTAAGTCCGGGCCTATCTGGATGGAAAGACAAGATGTCAGGGTTGGAGGCCACCTCGGATCCCACGGTTTCCTGGAGGGGAGGCGTTGAGGCTCTGATTCACCCGCACGACCAACGTCGGCTTTCAGACTCCTCATCCATTTCCCCTCCGCACGCCGGAAAGAATCTGATTTGCCCTGGTCTGACAGAAGGAGAAAAAAAAAAAGAAAAGAATTGTCAAGAAAAAAACAAAACAAAACCGTCTCTGCTTACACCTGCGAGAGTTGGCGGGCACAGCTGGGCTTCCCAGCCTGAGCCTGAATGGTGGACAGCCAGGAGCCGTCTGCTGGCAGCCCGGGTGAAATGAGGCGGACACATCAGAGTTAGCTCTCCACAGGGGGTGCTTCCTGTGTGCTCCAAACCATCAAAGAACTCTGCCCTCCATGGCAGTAAGATCTTCCCCGGACTTGTCTGACACTCCAGGCCTCTGCATCCCTCCCCCTCCCTCCACATCCACCCCATCTCCACCTATTCAGCCAAATGTACAAAGTGTCAACCGAATGGGGCAGTGGGAGTGGGGGGGAGGGCATGGTGGCTCATGCCTGTAATCCCAGCCACTCAGGAGGTGATCAGAAGGATCAACGTGGGCAAAAAGTTATTGAGTCCCCCATCTCAACGAATAAGCCAGGTGAAGGGATGCATTCCTAGAATCCCAGTTATGCAGAAGGAATAAGGAGAAGAATGTCGGTCCAAAAGCAGCTCTGGGCAAAAAGCAAGAGATCATACCTGAAAACTAAAGCAAAAAAATGAAATTAAATTTAACAAAACATAGGGCTGGAGTGGCTCAAGGAAGCTTGAGACCCCAGGTTCAAATCCCAGTACAACCAAAAACAACAGCAAAACAAACAAGCCGGTGCAGAAACATTCATACAGCTTTGTGCAGGACTGGCAAAGCCTGGAAGGACTTGAGTGGGGTGGGAAAAGTCACAGGAGCTGCAGCTCAGTCTCAGCAACAGAAGCTGAACTGACACATGTCCCCCAGGCCTCATGATGGAGGAGGAGCCAGACAGATGGCCAGCCGGACAGGACAGGTGACTTGGTTTATGAGGAATTCCAGAATACAAGCACAGAAGTCACCTTAGCAGCTGGTTTTCAGGGGGTGGTGGAGCACCTCACAACCCTCATCCCGCAGGAGGGGAGTCTGGGCAGGCTTTTAGATACCAACTCCCACTGCTCTGGCCTGGGGGCGGTGGCAAGCGGGCACGCCATCCCCTACCTGGGCCCCTGGGTGGCAAAGAGGCAGTGAGTGAGCTCCTACCCCAGGATCTTTGCACCTGCTGGAGCCTCTGTAGTTCCTCTGCTCTTTATTGCTGGCCTGGTTTTTTGTTTGTTCGTTTGATTGGTTGGTTTTGGTCCTGGGTCTTGAACTCGGCCTGGGCACTGTCCCTGAGCTCTTTTGCTCAAGGCTAGCACTCCACCACTATGAGCCACAGCTCTACATCTGGGTTTTGAGTGGTTAATTGGAGATTATAGTCTCACGGGGACTTTTCTGCAGGGCTGGGTCCTCAGACCTCAGCCTCCTGAGTAGCTGGGATTACAGGCGTGAGCCACCAGCACCCAGCGAGTCCGTTTAGTTTTATGTTGGCAATGCTAGAGTTTGAACTCAGGACCTTGCCTTTAGGTAGGCTGGGTACTGCCGAGCCACGCCCCCTACGGATAAACCACGCCCCACTGCCGAGCCTCATGATACCTGAGCCACGCCCCTGAGGCAGAGCCACTCCCCTTGTCATTGAGACACACCCTGGTGCTGAGCCACGCCCCCACTGCTACACCACGCCCCCACCGCCGAGCCACACCCCCTACCACTGAGCCCCGCCCCTGGCCCTTAGTGTCAGCGCTAAGCCACGCCCTACTGCTGAGATGGGGGGCGGGGTTCAGAGGCCTAGGCATTGCTTACCCAGAGTTCGGGGTGGAGGGGGCTGTTGCTGGAGGGCCTGCACCTGGGCAGGCTCTGGTCTGAAGTCTCCATCCAAGATGTGAGGGAGCATTGCAGGGCGCAGGGCTGATCCGAAGTGGGTTCCGCTGTCCAGAGCGGGGCCGTTGTGGGGAACGAGGGGGGGCTGGCGAGCTCCCCGATTTATTCTCCAGGGCGTGGGTCTCAGGACACGCCCCCTTAGGCTAATTGGGGTTTGACGAGCGGGTCTAGGTGGTAGACCTGTGCAGAACGCTCGTTCCGGAGCCTTTAGTGGGGTGCGTGGGATGTAATTAACATCCACGACAGTTGAGCAGGAACAACAGCTAACGGGGGCCTGGGGGGGTCACAGTGGACGGACAGGACTGGATGCCTCAGAGACCTCTTGGACCCCGCCACCCCGCCCTCCCCTATGCGCAGGGTGCAGGTGGCCCAAGAACGACCCTGATAACAACCACCAAGGGTGCTGGGCTGTTTCTGGGTAGCCCAGGGATGGTTCGCCACCCTCCTAAAGTCATAAGGCCTTCATTGGTCCAACCTGGGTTGGCCCCGCCCCTTGTCCAATCAGCAGCATCCAGGGGCGTGGCCACGAGGCCCTCATTGGCCCAGCTTGGTTCCCTTTCCGTGGCTTAATCAGCAGCGCCCAGGGGCGTGGCCACGAGGCCCTCATTGGCCCAGCTTGGTTTGGCCCCCTTTCCCTGGCCCAATCAGCACCGTCCAGGGGCGTGGCCACGAGGCCCTCATTGGCCCAGCTTGGTTTGGCCCCCTTTCCCTGACCCAATCAGCAGCGTCCAGGGACGGGACCATGTTGCACCCATGTGGCCGCCCCGTGGTGCCCTGGATGAGACGGCGTGGCCGGGGAAGAAGCTCCGCGTGCGCGGTGACTTCGATCCCTGTGCCCAGCGAGCTCCTGCTTCGGGAGGGGTTTGGATGGCGACAGTATCGAATCCCCTCTCGGCCCGAGGGGCTGAGACCACCCAGCAGCCTTTGCAGTTCCCGGATGTGGAGCCGGTGGCGCGCAGAGCCGTCCCAGGAACCCATGGGCCGATGATGGCCATGACCATCGATGCCGAAGCCGATCCACCAGATCCACAATCGGGGTCGATCCACCAGGTACGAGCATGATTGATGCTCGTGATCACAATCACAGTGGAAGCCAGAGCCCGTCCACCTGCTTGTGTCACAGGGCATTAGTTATGGCCTAGAGTGATGGAGTCCAGGACAGACCACGTGCTACAAATTCGGAATCTACAAGTGAAAATTATTGTAATTGGATTCTGTCCTGGGGTCGTGCAGGGCCCTGCTTTCAATCAGACCCATCCAGTCAGCATGGCGGGCCTCAGCCGCTCAAACGGGAGCTGTGATGGGCCGGCAGAGGTTAATAGAAGTGCTGGAAAATAAATAGGTTATTGATCCATCCATCATAAGTCAGCTGGCTCCCTCCTGGTTTACCTTGCTGACCTGGACCGCCCCCACACAATTCCACGGCAAACTCAGTTAGCATCTCATTGTAGATCTCTTTGGCAATACTGTGTTTTCATGAGCAGATACTGCAGTCGGGACTGAGGGATTTTGACACTGGGTGGTTTTCTCCCAAGGTCATTTGCATTTTGGGGCAGTACTGGGGATTGAAGTCAGGGCACCTTGATTTCTGGGCCAGCATCAGGCTACACTCCCAGACTGTTTGCTGTAAGCTTTCTTTTTAGATAGGGTTTCCTGCTTTTGCTAGGGCTGGCTTTGACTAGCCAGTCTTGTATCTCTGTCTTTAGAGTGGCTGCGATTCCCTAGACCAGATTGTTTGCCTTAGTCTGTTCATTTTGAGATCGGGTTTCATTAACCTCCACTCAGGCTGGCCTTGAACTTCCATCCTTCTATCAACACTTGCAGAGTGACTGAGGTTACAGGTGTGGGCAGGGGAGGGGCCGAGGGAAGTATTGAGGCGTGAACTCAGGGCCTCAGGCTTGCTACTCAGGCGCTCTGTAACTTGAAGTATACCCCCAATCCTTTCTGCTGTATCTATTGGATAGGGTCTCACGTGTATGCCTAGACCACAGTCTTCCTATTTATTATGTTTTCCACATCGCTGGGGTGACAGGCACACAACACCACTCACCACAGTCTGCTTCTTTTACATTTTTTTTCCTACTGTTATCATAGAGGTGATGTACAGAGGGGCTACAGTTACATAAGTCAGGCAATGAGAACATTTCTTTTCAGACAATGTCACCCCTTCCCTTGCTCTCTCCCAGTTTTTGCCTCTTAACCCACCCACAAGTTGTATAGTTCATTTTCAGCGTAGTGTCCACTGAGTACCACTGCTGACCTTCCATTTCTGTACCTCCCCTCACCCTCCCAAAGACAGATAAATGAACAAACACAACAAAAAGGAAACAAGAGGAAAAAGAAAAAAAAGCTCTTGTTTTCATTTCTTAGCATCCATTTCAATAAATATTTTGTAAGATCAGATGCACTTAGGCATTCAGCCTTTCTGTTCCTCTCCTAAGAGTGTCCTCCTTTGGTCTCACTGTGAATACCTAGAGACCTGTATAATTTATCAGGTCCCCATGTATTGTAGATCTAGCTTCTGCATAGGAGAGACAATATATTCCATTTGTCTCTGAGCTTGGCCTACCTCACTTAACATGATTTGTTCTAGGTCCATCCATTTCCCTGCAAATTTCATAATGTTATTCTTTCTAATGGCTCCGTAAAATTCCATTGCGCATAGGTACCACATATTTTGAACCACTTGTCTACCTGGGTTGTTCCCACAACTGGGCTATTGTGAATAGTGCAGCAGTGAACATGGATATGGAGATGTGTCTTTACAGTATCCTGGCTTGTGATGTTCAGGGTAGACACCCAGGCGTGGTATGGCTGAGTTGTAGGGAAGGTCTATGTTTAGTTTTTATGAGGAAGCTCCAGACTACTGTCCAGAAGGTTGTAATAGTTCACATTCCCACCACACTGAAGTAGGGTTCCTTTTTCCTCCCATCTCTGCCAACATTTATTGGTTTGAATTCACAATGTTGGCCAAATTTGTACAACCAGCTGTATCATCATTGCTAGTATCATCATCATCATCATCATCATTTTTTACTAACATGAGCATCTCATTTTTCCCATAGTGGCCTCAAACCTCGAACCTCCCAATCTGCCTCCCAAGTATCTGAGACTACAGGTATGAGCCACCTGACCCAGCATGTATGGCCATGATCCTGTCCCCACCAGGGGAGACCACAGGTCCAAGGAATAAGCAACTGGTCTCCTCTGCAGAAATGCTGCACTGGCCTTCACCCTGTGAAACCAACATGGCCGTCCCCAGAAAGATGGCACAGAAGGGGAAACTGGAGCTCAAAGAGAGGAAAGCACTGGCCAAACAAGAACACAAGCCCAGCGTTCATGTGCTACAAGGCTGCAGCCTCCAAATCCAGGAACATAGCCTTCAGAGGGTAAGGCAGGGCGGAGGCAGGGAGGAGGCTGGGACGGATGGAGGGTGGAGCTGTGGCTAACGTCTGAATCACAGCTTTGAAGATGGTGGTGGGCACTACCGAGGCACTCAGGCAGCAGGGCTCAGCTTCCAGAAGAACCTCGGCATGCTGAGCCTTGGTGTGCTGAGGTGAGTCGACCACCAAGAAGTGGGAAGAGTGTGGTTACTCTACTGAGTGTGGTGGTGCATGCCTGCAGTCCCAGCACGTGGGAGATACAGACAGGGGGATTGTGAGTTTGAGGTCAAGACCTCAGAGCTAGACTTGACAATCATCTTTTTCTCATGAACCTACAGGGCTCAGGTGAAGAGTATGTCTCTATTCCAAGAAGCCCCATCTGAGAAGGCTCAAGGAGAGCTGAGGGACCAGCCTTGAGGATGGTTTTGCTCTCATCAGTGCCAAGTTGTAGTTACCTTCTGGCTGGGAACTCAGTGGGATGGGGGCTGAGGGCCTTGGGGCCAATCCGTGGGGCCTCCTCACACCTACTTGTGCTTCCTTCCAGCATGGTGGCTGCTTTCTCTAAGTGAATGCCTTGTGGTTGTTATTAGTTATAACTTATTAGTTATAACCACACCTGCCTAGACTCTAGGGGAAGAGAGCCAAGGTCATCTTAGAAGCTACTGGTTCACATGCACACACACACATTTCCTGAGGCCTTTCCCTTCATACCTGTCCTTTGAGCCTCCAGGATCACCCCAATCTCCTGCCTGAGGTCACAGAGGCTCAGTGGGCGGTGGGGGGGAGGGGAAGTAATTTCTAAAAGGACACAGAAAACTGAGCTCAGGTTTGACAGTGCATCCTTCTCTCCAGGGTGGAAGGGACACTTTCCTGTCAGTGCCCAGCAGGGGGGGCGGGGAAGGAGCCACCAACCAGGACCCCAGCCCAGGATGTGCAAGAAGAAAGCCAGAAATCTCAGACCATAAGAGGCCAGTGGGGGGAGTGGGGGCTCAAGCCCACACTGCCTGAGATCCTGGGAAAGCTTCCATCCAGCGAGGCCTGACACTCACCCCCCATCCCCCCAAGGCCCAGAAGGTGCTGTCTGCTATTTGCTCCCCTTGGCTGAGCAGCCTGAGTTTCTGGGAAAATATCAGCAGACTCTGGGTCCTTCCAAAGCCTGCTCCACGCTGGGCCCCGGCTGGCAGGCTCTGCGCATTCCCTGCATTCCAAGGTTTCCCTGTGGGCGGAGGGGGCTCTCCCACCGATAAGGTCTCTGTTCTGAAGGAAGCTGGTGGAGGCCCTGGCTGGACAGCCCCGTGGACAGCCCCTGGCTGACCAAGGCTACTTGGCTTTGCCCAGGACAGTCTGTCTGCTGGGATCCTGAGCCACGCAGTTTCACGGATGGCTCAACTTTAAGTTCAGGAGACACAGGGCCTGCCCGCCAGAACCACCTTTTGCATTGATGTGGCCCATGTGAACTCCTGTTTGACCCTCAGGCCGTTCTACCTGCTCCTAGATTCCCAGAGGCCAGATGCCCAAGGCTGAGAGAAGCCATGAAAGGAGGGAAACACCGCACAGGCCTCCTGGCGGAGTTCTGGCAGCCTGTTGGGGGGCCGAGGAGGGGGGGAGGGGGGGCAGGGGAGGCATATTCCCTACTGCCTGTTTGACAGATGAGGAAACCGAGGCTCAGTCAGCAAGGCCACAGCCAGTAAGAGGTGTGGCTTTTCCTGATACCCTACATTCACAAGGCCTCACTGATTCTCTTTCTTGCAGGCCACGCAATCTTGTGGACCCTTCCCCTCCAAGTCTGACCCCCCCCCCAGTCACCTAAGCTGGGTAGAGGAAGAGGTGGCTGACACACAGCAAATAAGCTGTGTGCCCACCCGCCAGCTGGGTGCCCAGCCCCAGGCCGCCACCACCTCCCAGGGAGAGGGCGGGGCTGCATGAAGGCCAGAGGTCAGTGTCTAGAAGAGAACACCCAGGCGCTGAGAAGTGACTTGGCCTTGGGCTGTTCTGGAGTTTCTGTCCTCAAGGGTGCTGGGGGGGGGGGGGGTCTCACAACTCACAACTGCCCCCTAGAGAGGCTCCCCAAATGTTTCTGGAGTAGAATCTGGTGACTAAGACAACCCTGCCCCCTCCCACCCCCACCCCTGAAGCAACAACGGGCTTAGTGCAACACCGCCATCTGCTGGTCACTCCTATGAACTGCATCCCCGACTTCGCGGGGCGAGGCGAGGGAACGCAGCAGGCCTGTGTCCCCCAGAGCCACCCTGGAGGCCCCTGCTCTGATTTGTCCCCAGGCCAGCGTCCAGAGACTCCCCAAAGCCATCTGCTCCCCTCCCCTCTCCAACTCCTTGATTTATGTGCCTGAAGCAGCCTTCAGCCCAGGGGCGCCCCTGCCCCTGGAGGACTGTTCCTCCATTGTCCTCCAGCTTCCAGAACTGGCCAGGCCCCTCCTGGAGGAGCCGCCCCTCCGTTCTGTTCTTCCTCAAGGCATCCCTCCAGTCTCTCCTTTTCCAGAAAGCCCTCTTTCTGTGCCCTTCCTTTCCACACTTCCTCCCCGACAGCAGTCTCCACTGCCTCCTGCTGCAGAAACAGAACAAAAGAGCCAAGCAATGCAAGGCCCTGAAGTCAAGCCCTGGTACAGAAAATTAAAATCCGAAAGAAAGCTGGTGATCTCCAAGTGAAAGCGGTAATCAACTAGCAATGTCTGCCATGGATCCCAAAGTGAATGAGTGATCAACTAGTAATGTGTGCCGTGGATCCCAAAGTGAAGGAGGTGATCAACTAGCAATGCCTGCCTCTGATGCTGACAGTGAGGGGGTTGGTGTCTGTGCAGATCTTCCCAGGCCCTTCGCAGCCAGGTACTCAATGCTACCTTTCTGTCTGCCACCTTTTGCTTTGCAGTCTGGGCGGTAAATAATCTCCCCATCGATAAGAGCAGGGTGTTCTCTGGAGCCCCGCCCTAGGCACAGAGATCTTTTTTCTTTCTTTTCTTTCTTTTTTTTTCTATTTTTGCCAGTCCTGTGGCTTGAACTCAGGCCTGAGCACTGTCCCTGAGGCTCTCAGTACTCAAGGCTAGCACTCTACCACTTGAGCCACAGTGCCACTTTGGATTTTTTTCTGAGTAATTTACTGGAGATAGCTTTCCTGCTGGGGCTGGCTTTGAACCACAGTCCAGATCTCAGCCTCCTGAGTAGCTAGGATTACAGGTGTGAGCCACTGGCACCTGGCTGTTTCTTTAAACTACAGGTGGTGTACAACCACACTTCATACCACCAAGTGGTTCACTTAAAATGGCCACAATACTTATGAATTTCACCACAATTAATAAGCCAGGTGCTGTGATATACACCTGTAATTTCAACACTCGAGAGGCTGAAGCAGATCAATCAGAAGTTCAAAGTCAGTGTTGAGTACATAGCAAAAGCCTGTCAGAGAGGAAGAAAGGAGGAAGGGAGATAGAGGAGTGAGGGAGGAAGGAAAAAAGGAAGGAAGGAGGGAAGAATCTCCAAGGCCAGCGGGCCCCCTGCCCCTGTTAGCCCTTTCTCCCCAGACACACATCTCTACTGCCTCATAAACCACACCATGCTCTGGTTGTGAAATGAGTTTAATATAAAAGGGTATTTTACACAGAAGCAGCTACATCATGCATGAGAACTGGACACCAAGTGGAAGACCATTGCTGGACCCATGTTTTAAAAAAAAAATCATGACTTTTAATGTACAGCAGAGTGTCTGGGGCCACCTCAGCACCCCCCAGAGCTAGGACATGAAGGAACCCCTTTCCTGACCCAGGAAAGCAAAGCAGCCCCCTGCGCCCACCTCCCACCCCCAGACAGACAAGACACCCTCCCCACACACACACAGTGAGATCCCCTGTGGATTTGCAGCCTGAGACCTCAGATCCATTTTCTCTGGGGACCGATTACCACCAGCCAGTCCCCTTGCTGAGATTCCTCCCTTCCAAGTCCTCGCTGTCCCCAGTGCTCCCAGATTCCCAGGAACCTCACCACATGGACCCAGAGTCCTCAGAATCTGCCACTCAAACCCCCTGATCTTCCCGTCCCACACCTCTGGCTCCCCACGTCCAAGCTCCCAGGTGACAACGCCACATGTGTGTCCTCTTCGCCCTCAGCCATCTCCTGCTCTATTTCCCCCAAGAACCTTCTAAGACCTCTCTGATCTCTAACCTCACATCTGCCCTGCCCGCTGCCGGGAGCCCCCATGCCCGTTCACCCTGCATCAGCCAGAGTCCAGCTTGCCCCGTCTCCCCACTTCAGAAAGCAGCTTCTGCCTTCCTGGGAGGGGTCTCCGGACCCCTTCCTGCCCCTGCACCACCCACTATGCAGCAGAGACCCGCACAGCCACAGCCCCATGTGCAGTACCTGCCAGGCTGTGGGAGGAGCAGGACAGCCACAGCACCCAGGAAGGTGCGTGGTGCATAGGAGGTCTTCCACAGCCTCCAGTCTCTGCACTTGAATAGCCAGAACTCTTGGAGTGAGAAGCCTTTATTATCAGGTGTCCCTAAGCCTCACACTTCATGAAGTGGAGCAAAGGGGCCACTAGAGGGCGGTAGCAGTCGCTGCCCCCTTCCCCATCTGCCCAGCTCTGCCATGGCCCCTTCCCCTAGATCTCCTATGCAGCTCAGGGGCCCCTGCCAGCCCACACACAGTCAGCCCCCAGCCCTCGGCTGTGGCAGAGGGGATCCCACAGATCAAAGCAATCTGTCCCTGAGGCCTCCACACCAGAATCTGAAACCCTGTCCCAGGACCACAATTCATGACCAGCAAAATGTGTCTTTCTCCACTCATTCTAACTTCAACAGGGCGCCCATCTCCTGCCCTATCTATCCACGGGCCTTTGGCCTCCAGGCTCCCCCCCATCTGTTCTCAACAAACCTTCCTCCCAGCCCTAAAGAAATCTCAACTCCCTGCCATCGGATCCATGACTATATGGCATAAGTCACGTGAGAAGTGCTAGAAACGGAGCTAAGGCACGCTAACATGTAAATGGCTGCTGGCTCCGAATGGCTAAAGACTCCGGACATCACATGCCTCCCGGACAAAATGGACAGGTGCCCTGAGGTTGGCAAGTGCTCTTTCTTCTCGTGGTCTGAAACCAAATGCACCCTGGGAGGAGTTTCAGTTTATGTCCAGGGGTCCAAACGTTTGGAAGGCTGACTCTACCTCTGACCCTCCTTTGGAGAACTCTGGCCCAAAGCAGTCACCAAGTCCCGCACCCCCAGCTATAGCCTCCCTGTGCGTCAGGTTCCAACCGTGAGGCAGCCCCGCCCCAGCCATGCGGACATCCAAGCTGTTAATTGTCATGGTACCGAGCAGCGCTAGAGATCTGAGGTTAGTCAGAAAGAAATCCACAAGCCATTAGTTTCTGCTGAAGGGAACAGACCAGGAAGCCATTAGTTAGTCAAGAGGGAAGAGAGGTTAATTCCGAGCCGGCCAAAGCCAGGCTTGGGAGCCTGGAGCCCGCAGGTGGGCAGGGTTGGCTGTTAGTGTGGTCAGCTCTCAGACAGCCAGGGCGAGGCAGGGATTAGCTGGGGGACAGCAAGAGTTAGTGCAAGAGAGCCACAAGGAGCCCGAAGAGACCAAGGTGCCTACTGGGGGTGAGGCATGGAGTCACCCCCAGGTGTGGCCCCGGCTGAGCAGCTGGCGGGCTCTGGGGGAGGCTGGGCTTAGGCATGAACAGCACGGGGCCCTGGGATTCCGATCTTGCGCCCCGCGTCCTCCTCCTGCCGAGCCCGAGGCCATTTCTAGGCGCGGGAGGGGCAGCAGCCCCTGCGGCTGCCAGTGTGGAACCTACTTCCGGCGCGAAAGTAGTCCCAGCCCCACTTCCGGCGAGCGGGCCCACAGAGCAAGGGGCCCCTCTACCTGGCTTCCGGTGTCCACTCACTGGTTGTTGGCCGCATTTTTCTCAAGGGAAGCCCCTCTGGCTCTGACTTCCGGCGCCACCGTGTCCCTTTTCTCAGCTTTCAGACAGGGGGAGTGCCTCTGACTGACTTCCTGGGCCCTGAAAGTCCCCCTCAGAGACTTGGTACTATGAGAAAGGCCACTGCACTGCCTAAAACGCCCCCTGCTCACTCACTTCCGGCGTAGGCCACGCCCCCTGGCAACTTCCTACCTAGACCACGCCCCTGGTGGCTCTGTGGGCCACGCCCCTCTGGTGGCTCTGTGCGCCACGCCCCCTCTGGTGGTTCTGTGGGCCACGCCCCCTCTGGTGGTTCTATGGGCCACGTCCCCTCTGGTGGTTCTATGGGCCACACCCCCTGGCAACTTCCTACCTAGACCACGCCCCTGGTGGCTCTGTGGGCCACGCCCCTCTGGTGGCTCTGTGGGCCACGCCCCCTCTGGTGGTTCTGTGGGCCACGCCCCCTCTGGTGGTTCTATGGGCCACGCCCCCTCTGGTGGTTCTATGGGCCACACCCCTCTGGTGGTTCTATGGGCCACACCCCTCTGGTGGCTCTGTGGGGCACGCCCCTCTGGTGGTTCTGTGGGCCACGCCCCCTCTGGTGGTTCTGTGGGCCACGCCCCCTGGCAACTTCCTACCTAGACCACGCCCCTCTGGTGGTTCTGTGGGCCACACCCCTCTGGTGGTTCTATGGGCCACACCCCTCTGGTGGCTCTATGGGCCACACCCCTCTGGTGGCTCTGTGGGCCACGCCCCCTCTGGTGGTTCTATGGGCCACGCCCCCTCTGGTGGTTCTATGGGCCACACCCCTCTGGTGGTTCTATGGGCCACACCCCTCTGGTGGCTCTGTGGGGCACGCCCCTCTGGTGGTTCTGTGGGCCACGCCCCCTCTGGTGGTTCTGTGGGCCACGCCCCCTGGCAACTTCCTACCTAGACCACGCCCCTCTGGTGGTTCTATGGGCCACACCCCTCTGGTGGCTCTATGGGCCACACCCCTCTGGTGGCTCTGTGGGCCACGCCCCCTCTGGTGGTTCTATGGGCCACGCCCCCTCTGGTGGTTCTGTGGGCCACGCCCCCTGGCAACTTCCTACCTAGACCACGCCCCTCTGGTGGTTCTGTGGGCCACACCCCCTCTGGTGGTTCTGTGGGCCACGCCCCCTGGCAACTTCCTACCTAGACCACGCCCCTCTGGTGGTTCTGTGGGCCACGCCCCTCTGGTGGTTCTGTGGGCCACGCCCCCTGGCCTCCTGTCCACAATGGCTGTCCTCTCTCACTCTCCCTCTGGAGGGGGGGAGGGGGGAAGGCCCAGAACTCCACACTGGACGCACAGGCCTCCCCCACCCAGAGGGTCCCCTGGTCCCGCCTCTCCTGGTGGCAACCAGACTTCTGCACAGAGGAGAAGGTCATGCACGAAGTCCAGCCTTCCCACAGCCGCTGGACCCCCTCGTCCTCCCTGGGCCTCTGTGCAGCTGGCCCCGGGGGCCCTGATGGCACAGGCAGCCCATGTGGGACTCTGTCTGCCAGGCCATCCTGGGGACATCTGCTTGCCAAGAGGAAGGGGGACCAGCCCCCCACCCCCACCACGGGTGGGGGCCCAGAGCTCGGCAGGGCTGGGTTAGTACGAAGAGAAAACCAGGTTAGTAGGGCTGGGTTAGTTAGTAAGTCAGAGCACAGCACCGGCAGAC